TGATATCACCAAAACTATGATCCAAACAAAAATGAAGTTAAAGCGATATTGCGTTCGTTAAGCATATCGATAGATTGAGGCTGCAATTAGTTTCTTAGCCTGAGCAGAAAATGTTTTAAGAATTACTTTAGTTGAGTAGAGTTACTCTTTCGCATGACATTCCTTTCGAAAACAAGAGACGTTCGCCGACAAGTTGTTCAGTGGTAGGCTGTGGGCGGAAAGTGTGGTAAATTTAGACATGAAGTGAACTATCTTGGCCTCACTGTCCGTACAACAGATGAAGAAAGTGTGGGTAAGAAGGGACCTTCGTCCTTGAATTGAAGACATGTTTTTCCATTCTCTTTTGTATTGCCACGCGCTGTTACGATTGTTTACCCCAAGTGAAACTCTATACCTATCAGGTCATGTTAAATATATTTCATTTAATCTGTTTTTTAAATGTTTTGTCTGACTACGCAGTTTATTTTGAAAACAGAGACAGTACTTTAACACTACAACATACTTCTTTTCTATTGGTGTGTGTGCATGGTTTATTATATAAACCATTAAAGCGTAAACTCAAGGCGAAAAAATAATATCATGCGTAGCCCAGATTGATCATCAGATCGAAATGACAAGCTTTTCGCCAATAAACCTCAATAGTGGAGAAGCATGCCTTGGTAAGCTTAATAAAATGACCCAAATGTGAATTCCTTTGTCAAGGCGAATACATTTCCCTTCGAATTTAGCCATGAATTTTGTTTGAGCTAGCAGATAGCTTAGTTTTTTCTTTATCAAAAAGGCAATTAGATTTGTAAACTCCGAGTTCTTATCATCTTTGATGAGATATTTCACAAACCGTATGAAAATAAGAAGCGTTTTGGCATCATTTCAGCCTCAAAGAAAGCTCGGTTTGTGATTGCAAAGCTATTGACTTAATATGACACCCGATAGAATGAAATTCGTTATTGAAAAATCTTAAGGATTTATGAGGATCTTAAGAGAACCTTGTTGCCGAAAAAATGTTTACTCTAAACCTGTATTGTACGGTGCCGTATTGAGCTTTTAACCTGTCATTACGGTCGGTTTTTCAGAATCCCGAGATTTCCCCCCCTGAAATATTGTAATTCTCCGAGTCAGCAAATCTCTGTTCATTTTAGTACTAGTGTTCGGAAGCGTAGCAAATAAGATAGTAGCCAGATGTTACTTTAATGATGACTGGGTCCTTGCATCTACTGATTGTAGAAAACGTCCAATGAATATCTGTTAGTGAAAAAAGGCTAAGTTACTCAATGAAAATGTTCAGCAGTTTAAGCTTTTGGCCACTGCGTTCGGCTTTTGCAGGACTCTGACAAATGATATCACAGTGATATCGCCAAAACTAAAATCGAAACGAAAACGGAGTAGCGATATTGGGTTAGCCAAGCATAATGATAGATTTTGGCCGGAATTACCTTTCCTAGCCTGTAAAGAAATTAAAATGTTTTATGTGTGTAGTAGATTTATCATTATATCGAAATGACCCACTTTTCGATGAAAACCTCTATCGTGGCGAATCATATTGCGAGAAGCTTAAATTGAGTGACCCAATAATAATGTAAACGTAATTTCCTTTGTCAAAGCGATAGTTTATCAGCAAGAGCATTTGCAGTATTTCGTGATTTCTACAAATAATTTCTTGAAATTTAGCCAGTTTGTTTCAGCAAGCAGNGACTTGGGGTTTACCCCTTCGTTACAAGTGATATTGGTGGCGAAAGTTTTGATATCACGTTTCAGACAGAAAGTTCAGTGACAACAACAGGGCATAATCTTCATTCAACAACAGCATATTTCGAGACGTAGACATGGATATCCAGAAGTTTTGGTGGTACATTTTTTTGATTGTCGCTCATCTAGGAGAAAATTACGCCTCGGAAGGTCAGTAAGGCAAAGGACTATAAGTTGCACTGTACTTTTGAATGATTTATAAGCGTGCGGTTGACGCCCGGATATAGGGGCTGAAAGGAGAGGTTTCCGCTGCCCATGAAATTTCACCGTAAGTTGTAGAACTTGGCACACACACACAAAAAGAATTGAGATGGTGTCATCTCTCGCTTACTTGTTACATTTTGGCGGTGTAAATGTCTGTGAAAACTATATATCTCAGTTTGTATTTTTGTAAACAAACCTGACCTGACCTTGCGATCCAAAAAAGTCACGTTGCGCTGGAAAGGGAACTGAATTATCAACGGGATTTGCGTTCGTCGAAATTGTTTCAGAAGAATCGACATAATTAAGAAACGTATAGTTCTGCTTGGTCTCAAGAAAATCAGTTTCTGAATAACTACGTTCATTAATTGACTTAGGAAATCACTGAAAAGGCCCGCGGAATTATCGAGGTCTGCATTTTATATTAATCGTGTTTCGTTACGCCATAGGGGGCCCAGACAAGCGACGAGTCTGGTTGTTTATTCGAAATATAAAGGAATGTATGGGAGAATATTGAAGAGTCTTATTATCGTAAACTAATATCATGAAATGTCTGAGTTAAAGCTCAAAATAAATGTAAACCTACCTCACTTGCTGTGTATTGTCGTTTCTGTGGCTCTAAATGGCGAATTTGAGCGATTTGGCGGGTTTTGCGTCGACTGTTACTGATACGTTGTAAGAAGAAGACAATTAAGCTTGTCTCCTTCTTATATTTTCTCGTTGCCATGTTCCCACCAATCACGTAGCTCCATTTTCTGCCTTTAAAAGCACACACAACCCACAATTCCTCTATTCGCTCCGACGAAGGACTAATGCTCGAAACGTTAGCTTTTATAACCGTAACGGTGGCCAATTTACCATTTCAACTTTGTTGATATATTCAAATTATTTCCTTCTTAAAACGTATAGTAACAGACGACGCAAAACCCACCAAATCGGTCAAATTCGCCATTTAGAGCCACAGAAACGAGAATACACAGCAAGTGAAGTAGGTTTACATTTATTTTGATCTTTAACTCAGACATTTCATGATATAAGTTTACGATCATAAGACTCTTCAATATTCTCCCATACATTCCTTTATGTTTCGAGTTAGTAACCAGACTTGTCGCTTGTGTGGGCTCCCTGTGGTTACGCAAACGCTCTCTCACCATCTCCCATTATTTTAACATTTAAGTTTAGAAATGCTTTGAAGAGTTTTATAAAGAAATCAACAAATTTAGTGCAAAAAAAAAGGGTATCAAACAATGTTTTTCTTAAAGGCCCATTTTCATCCGAGATCCTTTGCAGTCGTTTGTTTTTCTTTTGGAATCGCGCTATTGTTAAATGGCCAACTCTGATAGTCATTCACAAACACTATTAGAAGAAAAACAAAGATTTGGTGTAGAACACAGTAAAAAAGTTTGCAGCTAAATATTTGAGACTGAAAAATCATCAATCGAGTCTG